AGAGAGAGAGAGAGTGCGTGCACAAGCAGGCAGAGGGAGGGGGAGAAGCAGGCTCCCCACTGAGTGGAGAGGCCAATGACCTGAGCCAAAGGCAGATGCTTAACCAACTGAGCTACCCAGGTGCCCCTCATTCACAATTTTAAAGATATAAATTCTCTCTGTCAAATGGATAGATAAAATCTTTTTTAAAAAAAGATATAAATTTTAAAACTTTAAAAAAGTTTTACAATAAATTTTATTGACCAAGGTTTATTGAGAAAAAAAAAAGAAATAATTAACAGCTTAGAAGGTCAGAGACCCTAAAGCTTACAGGTAATTATCATCTCATTCCTATGTTTATTCATTCAAAAACTCACAATACTTAGCATCTGTACATGCCAGGCATTATTGGTGCTGAATATGCAGCAGTGAACAAAATAGATAAAAAACCCCTGCGCTCATAAAGCTCATATGCATTCAGGTAAGGAATAGAGAGGCATGCTGAGAGCCAGCTTTGGGTGAAGACAAGAGTAAGATGAGAGAGACAAAGATAAAATTTACCTATTTCACATCTCTACATACAAATCTCCTCATTCTCAACTGCCTGGCAATATCCTACCCATCTATCTCTGAGTTCATCTCTAATGAATCCTACTTCCTCCCTGACTTCTTCCCACTCACCCTACATTGTAAAAAAAATATTTTTACAAATTCTAAAACAGTATATAATATGGTGACAGTTTTTCATTTCCTGCAATGTGTACAATTGTGCCTTGGATGTATCGGATGTTTGGTATATGAATAAATGAATTTTTGTCAAAGGCAGCATGTGGACTATGTAAGCAGTAGAGCTGTTATAAGAGAAAGCAGATGGCTTACAGGGAGGGGGCAGGAGAACAGATGACCAGGTTGCTGCTGCTCCAAGATGCAAAATATACCTCTAATTAACTGCAATAAATGTGAATCATCAATACCATGTCAGCAAATATGAAATCATTTTCAATAGGCCATAATGTAGCTAAAGGAAATAATGAAATACGGTAAAGAGAGTCATGCACATCCATTTTTGTTTGACTATTTGAAAGCAAAGTATTAATAGGTAAGGCTATAAACACAATGGAAATATATTTAATTAATAGCTAAATGAAAATACTTTATGGTCAAAGAATAGCTTTTTAGGCTTTTCACCACCTTAACTTTAATTAAGTAAAACTCTTTTGAAGTAGAACTTAGTCTTTTTGAAATGAAATATGTCCCCCAGTGCTATTATTATAAAGCTGAAACACAACATCCTTGCCTTGGCATGTCATAAAAGCCAGTTCTTTGTGTATACTTGTAATTCAAGCATGCAGTAAAGAGAGATTGCAGAACATTCAGGAATAAAAACCAAGAACAAGTGGGAAAGAAACATAATAAAAAGCCAGGATTATAATGTTCAAATACATGGTGCTGACAGCCTTAATGAATGTACTTTTCAAAGATTACGCATCACCAAAATCCCTTTTCACCAACAGGAGGCCGGGGAAACAGAGGAAGTAACACAAAAGGCAGATTTAGAATAAAGATGTAACATTAATTCAAGTCAGTGATAAATTAGAAAATAGTTCTTGAGAGTTAAATGACTCATAATCAGTTTTAAGTGGTAAAATTTTCCAATTCTTATGTAGGGGAACGCACACTGCTCTACCCCTACTTGGAATCAGCAACAACTAAAAAATAATAAATAAAAACATATTTTAAAAATAGAAAAAATATTTTTAAAATGTTTTAAATAAAAAATGGAGTGGTTCTGCATTTGTGATGGGTAAAAACCAGAATCAATTCTTTTAATTTTAATTAAAAAAATTTTTTTAAAATAGGCTCCATGCCTAGCATGGAGCCCAATGCAGGGCTCAAACTCACGACCCTGAGATCAAGACCTGAGCTGAGATCAAGAATTGGACACTTAACCAACTGAGCCACCCAGACGTCCCAAAACTGAAATCAATTCTGAAACTGTCCCTGCGGCAGCTGGAATCCAAGAGGTGGCTGTGCCAGGGTGGAGGTGGACAGAATGAACTGCCAAAAAGGGCATCCTGTGCGAGGACCAGTCTTTACCAATGTGTACCAAATTAGGCCAGTTCCAAATTATCAGGCCAGGTCCAACTTGGGCACTTAATCTCAGCTTACCAGTGACCAGGGTTACCTTAGGAGATATGTTCCACAACATCCCTTGGCTGCTCCATGAGCTGGGGACTTGGTAGCTTCTGTACTCTGGAGAGGTCCTGTCAAAGACAGCTGCTAGTCCGTCACCAAATCCCTTCCTCTGAGGTCACCTCAGCAGGATAGGCTCAAGCTGGCTGTGTTCTTCTACTCAAGATATCCTGGTAATAGGGAGTGTGGCCAGGGGAGATTTTTATTTAGCTATTAGTTAGATATATTTTCATTGTGTTACTTGCCTGCATGATGGATTGGGTGGATCGTCACTTACTCAGGGGTGGACGAGGGCACAAAACCTGTGCAGTGTGAGAGAGCAAGGGACATTGTGGCTACATAAAACTTTTCTGCCCCACTGGCCTTTAAGTTCTCCATGTCTTACTCTTATACTCCTCATTGTTACACTATTCAGCATCAGGCCTGTATTCCCTGCAAAATAACCTAAAATGCTCAGCATATACACATCCACAGAGCCCCCAACTCTCATTGTTCCCTGACCTGAATCCATGTTTCTACACCTGTCTCAACTCTTCCTCCTAGTCTCAGTGCAACAGTCAAAACAATCTCTCCTCCCCATGAGCTCTCCAGTTGTCATGGTAACCAAAAGACAAGTGCAAAGAAAAGAAATCACATAACAAGGCTAGACACAAAAGTTGAGCTATCTCCAGGGGACTTGTTGAGAACTACTTCTTTTCATCTTGAATGCATGTAACAAATAAACTACAGTCTGTGTGGTTCTTTTTAACTGTTCACCTTGATTAGTTAAAAGAAAGGTGTACGTGTTGGGGGGACTAGCTCAACCTGTTTTTTTGTTTTTTACTATTTTTTTTATTCTTATGTTAATCCCCATACATTACATCATTAGTTTTAGATGTAGTGTTCCATGATTCATTGTTTGTGCATACCACCCAGTGCTCCATGCAGAATGTGCCCTCCTCAATACCCATCACCAGGCCAACCCATCCTCCCACCCCCCTCCCCTCTAGAACCCTCAGTTTGTTTTTCAGAGTCCATTGTCTCTCATGGTTCGTCTACCCCTCCGATTTCCCCCCCTTCATTCTTCCCCTCCTACTACCTTCTTCTTCTTCTTTTTTTTTCTTAACATATATTGCATTATTTGTTTCAGAGGTACAGATCTGAGATTCAACAGTCTTGCACAATTCACAGCGCTTACCAGAGCACATACCCTCCCCAGTGTCTATCACCCAGTCACCCCATCCCTCCCACCCCACCCCCCCACTCCAGCAACCCTCAGTTTGTTTCCTGCGATTAAGAATTCCTCATATCAGTGAGGTCATATGATACATGTCTTTCTCTGTTTGACTTATTTCGCTCAACATAATACCCTCCAGTTCCATCCATGTCGTTGCAAATGGCAAGATCTCATTCCTTTTGATGGCTGCATAAGATTCCATTGTATATATATACCACATCTTTATCCATTCATCTGTCGATGGACATCTTGGCTCTTTCCACAGTTTGGCTATTGTGGACATTGCTGCTATAAACATTGGGGTGCACGTACCCTTTCGGATCCCTACTTTTGTATCTTTGGGGTAAATACCCAGTAGTGCAATTGCTGGATCATAGGGTAGCTCTATTTTCAACTTTTTGAGGAACCTCCATACTGTTTTCCAGAGTGGCTGCACCAGCTTGCATTCCCACCAACAGTGTAGGAGGGTTCCCCTTTCTCCGCATCCCCGCCAACATCTGTCGTTTCCTGACTTGTTAATTTTAGCCATTCTGACTGGTGTGAGGTGGTATCTCATTGAGGTTTTGATCTGGATTTCCCTGATGCCGTAGCTCAACCTGTTTTAAAGAGGTTTGTTGTCAACCTCTTAAGGCAACTTGCTTTAAATGCCTCAGGTTTTTTTAAATGTCATGGAAAAGCTTCAGAAGTGACTCAAAAGTAACGTAATTCACTTCAGACAAAAAATACCCCATTTCTTGACAATAAAGAATGCTTTAAGTAAAAGCAGGTTGTCTGTACAGCTCCATCCTTGCTTATTTTGCCTTGATTGAGATCAAGCATAGAAACAATTTCTCTAAGTGTTCCACGAGCATATATCATAGGGAAAACAGACTGCTCTTGGGATAGATTTGATACCAAATATTTGAAAAAGTACTTCATGAGATCAATTATTATTTCCTCTGATGTAAAACTCTATGCACTCAAAAATAAGAATTGAGCAACTACTAATTGTCATATTAACTCATCTCTCTCAACGTTGATATATGATGTTTTGATGCCCTCCCCCAGGAAATTTTGATGCCACAGTGTGGCATTCAAGAACCCTAAGATAGTATGTATGGCCTCTCTGTCTCTTGCTTTCTCTTTTGGTATGTAACACACACACATTCTCTCCCTTTTTCTCTCTCCTTCTAATTTTTCCATTTCTCCCTATCTTTAGCAGATATTGTTGGAGCTTCTCCATATGCCAATTCTTCCTATTCTCATGCTGGTAGAGTTCCACTTTTGAGTAGATCCCATCTTCCCGCCCAAGGCTCTCTAGCTCCAGCTCACTGCAGGAGGGAATTATGACTGATCTAAGGCACTCATATGGTCTCATTCTCCTTGCCAGGAATTGGTTAGGTAGGTATATAATTTGGAAAATTAGTTGTGAGCAGAAAGCTGCCAAAAACCTCTGTGTTTTTAATTTCAAATTCCATTTGTTCATTATGGGTATATAGGAATGCAATTGAATTTTGTATATTAGCCTTATATCCTGCAACCTTGCTGTAATTGCTTATTAGTTCCAGGAGGTTTTTTTTTTTTTTCTCAATTCTCTTGGATTTTCTACATAGATATTCATGTCATTTGCAATCACAGACAGTTTTATGTCTTCCTTACCTATCAGTATACCTTTTATTTCCTTTTCTTATGTTATTGCATTAGCTATGATTTCCAGTATGATGTTGAAAAGGAGTGGTGAAAGGAGACATCCTTGCCTTGTTCCTCATGTTAGGGGGAAAAATTCAAGTTTATCACCATTAAGTATGATGTTAACTGTAGGTTTTATAGATACTACCAAATTGAGAAGTTCCCCTCTATTCCTAAGTTTACTGAGAGTTTTTATTATGAATGGGTGTTGGGTTTTGCACAATGTTTTTCCTGCATCTATTTCTATGATCATGTGCTCTCTCTTCTTTATCCTGTTGATGTGATGGATTACATTAAATGAATGTTGAACCAGCCTTGCATACCTGGGATAAATCCCACTTGGTTATGGTGTCATGGTGTATAATTTTTTTATATACTGTTGGGTTTTATTTGCTAATGCTTTGTTGAAGATTTTCATATCTATGCTCATGAGAGATATTGGTCTACAGTTTTCTTTTCTTGTAATGTCTTTGTCTGGTTTTGGTAATAGGGTAATGCTGGCCTCACAGAATGAGTTAGGAAGTATTCCCTCTGCTTCTATCTTCTGAAATAAATTGTGGAGAACTGGTATAATTTCTTCTTTAAATGTCTGGGAGAACTCACCAGTGAACCCTTTTGGGCTTGGTGCTTTCTGTATTGGAAAGTTATTAATTACTGCTTCAATTTCAATTTCCCTAACAGATACAGGGCTTTCAGATTGCCTATACCTTCTTGTGTGACTTTGGCAGATTTTGTCTTTCTAATATATGCATTTAATGTTATAAAATTTCTTCTAAGGACTGTTTACACTGTATCCTACAAATTTTGATAACTTGTATTTCATTTAGTTCAAAACATTTTTAAATTTACCTTGACAAAACCACAATGAGATACCACCTCACACCAGTCAGAATGGCTAAAATTTAACAAGTCACGAAACAACAGATGTTGGCAAGGATGTGGAGAAAGGGGAACCCTCCTACACTGCTGGTGGGAATGCAAGCTGGTGCAGCCACTCTGGAAAACAGTATGGAGGTTCCTCAAAAAGTTGAAAATAGAGCTACCCTACGATCCAGCAATTGCACCACTGGGTATTTGCCCCAAAGATACAAATGTAGTGATCCGAAGGGGTACCAGCACCCCCAATGTTAATAGCAGCAATGTCCACAATAGCCGAACTATGGAAAGAACCCATATATCCATCAACAGATGAATGGATAAAGAAGATGTGGTATATATATACAATGGAATATTATGCAGCTATCAAAAAATTGAAATCTTGCCATTTGCAATGACGTGGATGGAACTAGAGAGTATTATGCTAAGCGAAATAATAAGTCAATCAGAGAAGGACAATTATCTGACTGATATGTGGAATTTAAGAAACAAGGCAGAGGATCATAGGAGAAGAGAGGAAAAAAATGAAACAAGATGAAACCAGAGAGGGAGACAAACCATAAAAGACTCTTAATCTTAGGAAACAAACTGAGGGTTGCTGGAGGGGAGGGGGATGGAGGGCTGGGGTAACTGGGTGATGGACATTGGGGAGGGTATGTGTTGTAATGAACACTGGGTATTATATAAGGCTGATGAATTACAGACCTGTACCCCTGAAATCAATAATATATGTTAATTAATTGAATTTAAATTAAACAATTACAATAAAAATAATAAATTTACCTTGAGATTTCTTCTTTGACCCATGTGTTATGAGGAAGAATGTTGTTTAATCTCCAAATATTTTGGGATTTTCCAATTGTCTTTCTGTTGTTGATATCTAGTTTAATTCCACTGTGGTCTAAGAGCAGACATTCTTTTAAATGTGTTAAAGTGTGTCTTATGGCCCAGAATATGGTCTATCTTGGTGAATGTTCCATATGGGCTTGAGAAGAATGTATATTTTGCTGTTAGATGAAGAAGTCTATGGATGTTCATTATATCCAGTTGATTGATGGTACTGTTGAGTTCAACTATTTCCTTACTGATTTTCTGCTTCCTGGATATATCCATTTCTGATAGAAGGGTGCTGAAATCTCCAAATGTAATAGTGAATTCATCTATTTCTCCTTGCAGTTCTATCAGTTTTGGCCTTACATATTTTGGTGCTCTGTATACACAATAAGGATTGTGACGTCTTGAAGAATTAAACCCCTTATCATTATGTGATGTCCCACTTGTTCTCTGATAACTTTCCTTGCTCTTAAGTCTGTCTCTCTAAACTGTTTTTTTGGTTTTTTTTTTTGCCACTCAATATGTCTTATAACTTTTTCATGATAGTTGGACATGATGTACTGGGTAAAAGAACTG